AGGGCAAGATGGAGGTGGAGGATTAAGAGGTACAAACTATCAGGTATAAAATAAGCTTCAAAGATGTAGCTGTACAACATGGGGAATAGAGCCAATATTTTATAACAACTGTAAATGGAGTGTAACCTTTAAAAATTTGTGAATTACTATATTGTATACCTATAACATATAATATTGTAAATCAACTATACTTCAATTTAAAAAATGATACTGTAAAATAAGTAAGTAAGTAAGTAAATAGTTTAAAAAAAAGGAAAGAACACTAGTAAACAGGATTGTCTGATCCCAGAAATCACGGTCTTAATCATTCCTCTACCCTGCCTCTTATAGCTGTATTCTGTGCTCAGTGCCTGGCATGCGGTCGGTGTTTACTGGATGTCAGTTTCATGAGGCGGGGAAGAGGATGGTTGTTGTGCATTCAATGGGTAAATTAAAATGACAACAGGATTTACTGAGTTACTCCTCTGTGCCAGGCTTATGGTGTTCCTAGGTAGCAGACACTGATTATCCTTACTGTAACAATGGGGAACTGAGGCTGAGAGAAGTTGGGTCTGTTTTCTAAGGACATGCAGTGAGTAAGTGGCTGAGGTGGGATTCAAGCTCAGGCTGCCTCCGAAGCCTGTGTCCTTGACCTCAGACACCAGTCATACATTTCGTAAATATTTATTGAGCCCCTACTGTGTGCAGGGCATGGCAGGAACAGTGGTAAAAGATAGGCATAGCCCTTATCCTCATGTAGCTGAAACTCGAGGTAAGAACATAATCACATACATGAATAGTTAATTATAAATTGTGATATGTTCTAGGAGGAAATGATAAGATGCTATAAGGAAGAATAACAAGAGGAGGTCAACTCTAGACAGGATGAACAGGAAGGCTTGTTTGAGGAAACTTAAGTTTAGTGGAGCCCTGAAGGATGAGTGGGAGTTTGGCACACAGAAAAGGGAACAGTGTTCTAGACAGTGAGAACAGCATGTGCAAAGGCCCTGAGATGGAAGGTAGAATGATGGTTCAAGAAATAATTATAAATAAATTTCTCTGTTGTGGTTTATGTGTGTCAGGCACTGTTTAATCCCATGAGGTGGAGCCCCATTGGGAAGATACAAAAACTGAGGAACAGAGAGGTTAGTTATCTGGCCCAAGTTCACACAGCTATGAAGAGTGAGTTCTCCCAGCTCCATGTAATACCTTCAGTCTCTCTGTCAGAGTGCTTACCATCATGCTTCCTCACTTTCCTTTACCCTCTAGATGTGAACATGGAGGCTCCAGATGAGAAGTCCATCATTACCTATGTGGTCTCTTTCTACCATTACTTCTCCAAGATGAAGGCTCTGGCTGTGGAGGGGAAGCGGATCGGGAAGGTAATGAGGAGCCAAGGAATGGGGCGGGTGGGAGCCTGGGAACTGTGTGGGGGCATATCTGGGATGAGGCTGATCCCACCTCCCTTTGCCTGGTCAGGTCCTGGACCAGGTGTTGGAGGTAGGGAAGATCATTGAACGCTATGAGGAGCTGGCGGCCGAGCTGCTAGCCTGGATCCACCGCACCGTGGGGCTTATCAGCAACCAGAAGTTCGCCAACTCACTGAGCGGGGTGCAGCAGCAGCTTCAGGCTTTCACGGCCTATTGCACACTGGAGAAGCCAGTCAAGTGAGGCCCAGCACAGGAGGGAGGGGAGCAGGTGGAGGCATGGAGGAGGGGTCCCTGAGCTCAGGCCCCTTCAGGTTTCAGGAGAAGGGGAACCTGGAGGTGCTGCTCTTCAGCATCCAGAGCAAACTGCGTGCCTGCAACCGTCGCCTCTTCGTGCCCCGGGAGGGCTGTGGCATCTGGGATATCGACAAGGTGAGGCTGAGGATGTAGGAGAGAGGAAGGGTTGCTCTGTAAAGTTGTGTAGGTTGTGCACTGCTCAAGGGAGCCATTTACATTGCAGACATCATGGACTGCATATTTATTCTGATGGTTTCCTAGCAGTAAAGGGTCACGAGGAAGCAACATTTTTTCCCCAGTTTGTGCAAAAGGTGTCATAAGTGCTGGGAGTGACCTCAGACAGAGAATCCAGGGCCACTTAACTGTGGGGAGTTGTTGGAATCTCCTGCCTCCCTAGGCATGGGGCCAACTGGAGAAGGCAGAACACGAGCGAGAGGCTGCCCTACGGGCTGAACTGATCCGGCAGGAGAAGCTGGAACTGTTGGCCCAGAGGTTTGACCACAAGGTGGCTATGCGCGAGAGCTGGCTGAATGAGAACCAGCGCCTGGTCTCCCAGGTACAGGGTGTAGGGCTTGGCTCCGGGGGAATGGGAGGGAGGGTGGGGCTGATGGCCCAGGGACCAGAGAGGGAGACTTGATCTCCTAAGCAACAGAGAAGTGTTGGATTAGTCTCCTAGGTGACAAACGAGGGTGGGAAGAGAGAAGATGTCTACCAAGTGATTGGTAGGGGAGGGGGGTAGGCCTGCTCTCTAGGGTAGTAAGAGAGTGAGGCTGGTCTCCAAGGTAACTAGAGAGCACAAAATCAGTCTCTTCAGAAATCGGGAGAGTATTTAATTATCTCTTAAGTGACAAAGGAGGTTGTTATCTGGTGTCCAGGGTAACTCAGAATTGGTCTCCTAAGTAACAGTATAGGGTAGGCCTGGTCCCCAGTCTCTAAGGAAATGGAAGGATGGGGACTGTTTCCTGGGTAACAAGTTTAGGGTTAGAGATACAATAGGGAAGGGTGGAGCTGGTCTCCAGAGTAACTGGGAAAGGTGGGGCTGGTCTCCAGGGTAACAGAGAAGAGAGGAGCTGGTCTCCAGGGTAACTGGGGATGGGGAGGCTGATCTCCAGGGTAACAGAGAAGGATGGGACTGGTCTCCAGGGAAACAGGAGCAGGTGGGGGAGTTTCAAAGGTCATACAGGGTCAAGGTAACAGGTTGACTGCTGAGGCAACATGGGTGAGTGTCTGTGGCCTGCCCTGCCCCAGGACAACTTTGGGTATGAACTGCCAGCAGTGGAGGCAGCCATGAAGAAGCATGAAGCGATTGAGGCGGACATTGCAGCCTATGAGGAGCGGGTGCAGGGCGTGGCAGAACTGGCCCAGGCATTGGCAACTGAAGGCTACTATGATGCCCGCCGAGTGGCAGCCCAGCGTGACAGTGTCCTGCGCCAGTGGGCCCTGCTGACTGGGCTGGTAGGTGCCCGGCGGACACGGCTCGAGCAGAACCTGGCCCTGCAGAAAGTCTTCCAGGAGATGGTGTACATGGTGGACTGGATGGAGGAGATGCAGGTGGGAGCCAGACCGGGGACCAAGGATGGAGATGGCCTGCTGGGAGGGGAGGGAGGGAGGGATCTACAATGTAGGAGTTGTCAAAGATGGAGAGGGAAGGAGAGCGAGACAGAAAGAGATAAAGAGAAAGGGAGACAAAAAGGAAGAGTGAAAGATACAAGGAGAGAGACAGAGATGCAGAAAAAGAAAGTGTGAGAAAGAGACAGAGAAATATCTAGAGAAATAGATAAAAAGACACAGTAAATGGAGACAGAGAGAGTAGGGACAGAGACGGAGAGATTAAGTCAGAGGAAGATCATGACAATTTGAAAGAGAAATCAGAGAAAGAGAGCTGGAGAAGCAGACACAAAGGTAGGAACAGAAATCTAAATGGCTACAGAGAAAAACACATCCAGAGGTGGAATCCATCTGAGAAAGTGAGAGACCTACTGGAGATAGACAGACAGATACAGAGCGAGATGGAGATGAGAAGGATGGAAGTGGAGAGAGAGAGACAGACACAAAGAGAGACATGGAGAGAAAGAGGGTTAGAGATGGAGACAGAGAAGTGTAAATGAGGCAGAGGTGAAGGCAGAGAGATGGAAGCATAGAGAGGGAGACAGGGTGATAAAGCCAGAGCCCAGAACTGCAGAGACAATGAGAGATGAAACATTCAGAGAGACAGAGATGGAGAGAAATGATGACAGAGACACAGAGACTGAGACAGAAGAGTCTGATCGTGTAGAGGAGCAGAGGGCTGGTACGGGCAGTGGGAGGGAGGAGTGGCCTGAAGGCCGATGCTCAAATAATGCTCAGGGCTGCCCCTTCTTGTAGGCTCAGCTGCTGTCGCGGGAGTGTGGGCAGCACCTGGTGGAGGCAGAGGACCTGTTGCAGAAGCATGGGCTGCTGGAGGGGGACATCGCTGCCCAGAGTGAGCGGGTGGAGGCACTCAATGCTGCTGCCCTGCGTTTCTCCCAGTTGCAGGGTGAGTCTGGGGTTGGGGTTGGGGTGGAGACTTTCAGGGCTGCCACTAATAGAAGCAGAATGTCTCCTGAGAGACAGAGTGAAGGAGTGAGCTCCCCATCTCTAGAGGCATCCAAGCATGGACTAGGATCACACTCCATCAGGGATACCTTGGGGGGAATTAGTACCTTGAGTGGGAGGTTGCGCCACATGATTCTTCCTGCTTTCAGATTCTGCAGTAATAGTTCACGTCTGTTGAGCACTTGTCATGTGCTAAGCCTTTCACAGCCAGATCTCAGTGAAAAGACTGAATAAGGTAATTATTGTCAAGGCTTGTTCAGCTTCAAGTGATAGAAACTCAATTCAATTAACTTAAGGAGGTGGGGGAATGTATTGGCTGATGTAACTAAATGTGCAGGAAGGGATGATTTTTGTTTTAGGTATGGCTGGATCCAAGGATAGTTCAATGATACTTTTAAGATTCCATCTTTCTCCAACTCTAGTCTTTACGCTTGTGTCACTGTTAGGCAGTCCCTCCCCTTGTGGTATAAATCTAGATCAGTGGATCACTCAGCCCCATGTTTACATCCCAACAGCCAGTAAGAGATAGGCCCCTTTCTCAGTATTCTGGCAAAAGGTTCAAGGAAAGCTTTCATTAGCCCACTGTGGCTTCCGTCTCCATTGCTCAGCCAAGCATCATTGGCCATATCTATGTGACATATCCACCCAGGGCCAAGAGTGTGGTCAGCTCCCTCCAAAGACATGAACGGAAAAGGAGAAGGGTGGGGCACCACTAGCAGAAACAGGGGCTTGGATGCTGATAGACAAAACCCAGTCTGGCTCTAATGAGGTTCTCATTTCACTGAGGTCAATACCTTCCAACCAAAGACCACCAGGAGCCCCGCTGGAGTCAAACCAAGCTGAGTTTGTTGGCCCTTTGCACACACCACGGGGAACCCAGTAAGGGGTTCCCCATCAGCAAGAGGATGTTAAGAGGCGCTTATTATAGGATGTGGGCTTGTGTTAAGTGATTTGGGATGATTTAATGTATTTTTTGCTGCAGCTTGAATGCCATCAGGAAGTGGAGGTAATTAGACGATTGCACATCTTAATCATTTTTATCCAGGTGGTGGGAGGGACAGGATTGGCAGAAGTGGTTCACCTTGGCCAGGCGAGGGGGAGTCAGTGGCTGTTTTTGCAGTTTGCGCAGTGACCTTGTTTTGTGTGCGCTCAGACGTGACTGCGGAGTGGTCTCGTCTCTGTCTCACACCATCACGATTGCAGAGTCATCTTGTCTGATGTTGTGTCCTGTGCAGCTGTGTATGAGCGCTGACAGCATCAGGGTGGCTTTTTTCTTTTTCCCTGATGAGGAGACTGAGGCCCAGAGCTGCAGAGCTGATATGAAGGTTTTGAGGCTATTCTATCTCACTCCTTTACCTGAAGCCACGGCCCTTGGGAATCCTGGAGCATTGTTGGAAAAGGAAGAGGCTGTCTTGCTTGCAGGATGGCCAGGAAGTTTCTCACCTTCATGGGCTGGATCATGTCCTAAGAGCAAACGCTGAGGTCTCCTTCCACGCCTGGGTGCAGACATCCCCATCCTAGCTCAGCCCTCAAGACATTGTTGGAACCCTCTCCTTCATCCTTCATTCTTATGGATGTTCATCTGGGAGCTTCCCTCTATCTTTTCCTTGTGAGATCTCGGTGCCTGATGACAATGTGCCAGCAGCACCGTGGAAACAGCAAAGAGGCTAATGTGGGTTGTGTGTTGTCATGGTGATGGGAGGCAGTGCTACCCGATGAATGGTTCAGAGTGTGACCTGATCTGCTACTGATCCTGGGCAAGCAGCTTCCCTTCCTGAGCGTGTGTTTCTTCATCTGTAAGATGGGGTTAGTAAGGATACTGGCCTTATAGGATGGTTGTGAGAATTCAATGACATTGTGTCAGAGTAAGGGCTAGATACATGGATGCCATTGATGTTTATTATGCATTGGTATTTGGGTCAGTTTCAGTGAATGTCCAAAAATACAGAAATTCTGCGTGCCATCTAGGGCAGTGTCTTTCACACTGTTTTAACCCAGTAAGAAGTACATTTACCTCATGACCCAGAGTTCACAGGCACACGTGTACACACACACACAGAGATATGCACAGACACGAAGGCTTTATAAAACAATGCTTCCTCTTACCTCGAGTGTTGCATTCTGATATTTTCTATTCGTTCGATTCTATTTCATTAAAGAAATGTTGGCTGCCACCTAGTAAAATTAATCCCACAAACTAAAGGTCTAGGAGGAAGATGAAATATTTTAACACAAAAAGGCGTTTAGATCGTCACTGAGTTAATAGATAAGGCAACCGAGGATGAGGGAGGGAACCCAGAAGCATGGCTTAAGAGTTGTTTCACTTGGTCCCGTTCTAAAGGAAACACACTGTATGTTTACACTAAAATAATACAGATTCTAGGAATCGCTGAATCTCAGTTTCCATCCATCATTCAATCAATAAGTCACCATTTTCACTAGGCTTCTGCTCTGGGCTCCACCCTATGCTGGGCAGTGGTGAGAACACTGTGTGTTGGAGACTGTCCCAGGCCCTGTCCTTACAGGGTTCCCGGTCCAGTGGGGCAGACAGACTGGCAGTGACAACGTAGAGGGGTCAGAGTTGGAATGACAAAGTTACAGGCAGAGTAGTCCCGGCTGCGATGGGAAAAGCAGAGAAGCCTGGAAGAACCAGAGAAGGCGCCTGCTCCAGATTGGGATGTCAGGGAAAGCTGCCTGGAGGAGGTGGCTGCCTGGAGGAGGCGACGTGTAACCTGCCATTTGATGAAGTCAGGCCAAGGTCTAGGCAGGTAGCCTGCGCCACCCTCTCTTGGGCGCCCCCCTGGCCTGTGCCCAACCAGGGATCCTCCCTTTCTCCTGGCCCAGGTTACCAGCCCTGCGATCCGCAGGTCATCTGCAACCGCGTAAACCACGTGCACGGCTGTCTGGCGGAG